AAAACGGGAAGGTAACTCTCAAGACCAACACACATTCAGCTGTATCTCAATTTGATCCATCATGGTGAAAGTATTAATGAACAAGTTCCTCTATTTTATGAAAGAAGTCTGGAATCAGAAATCCAATGAGATGGGGTCTATCAAAAATTAATACATTATGAAAACGGGAAGGTAACTCTCAAGACCAACACACATTCAGCTGTATCTCAATTTGATCCATCATGGTGAAAGTATTAATGAACAAGTTCCTCTATTTTATGAAAGAAGTCTGGAATCAGAAATCCAATGAGATGGGGTCTATCAAAAAATTAATACATTATGAAAACGGAAGGTAAAGTATTAATGAACAAGTTCCTCAAGACCAAAATCAATGAGATGGGGTCTTCAAAAATTAATACAGTAAACGGGAAGGTCTCAATTCAGCTGATCCATCATGGTGAAAGTATTAATGAACAAGTTCCTCTATTTTATGAAAAAGAAGTCTGGAATCAGAAATCCAATGAGATGGGGTCTATCAAAAATTAATACATTATGAAAACGGGAAGGTAACTCTCAAGACCAACACACATTCAGCAGTATCTCAATTTGATCCATCATGGTGAAAGTATTAATGAACAAGTTCCTCTATTTTATGAAAGAAGTCTGGAATCAGAAATCCAATGAGATTGGGTCTATCAAAAAATTAATACATTATGAAAACGGGAAGGTAACTCTCAAGACCAACACACATTTAGCAGTATCTCAATTTGATCCATCATGGTGAAAGTATTAATGAACAAGTTCCCTATTTTATGAAAGAAGTCTGGAATCAGAAAATCCAATGAGATTGGGGTCTATCAAAAAATTAATACATTATGAAAACGGGAAGGTAACTCTCAAGACCAACACACATTCAGCAGTATCTCAATTTGATCCATCAAGAAGTGGAATCAGAAAGTATTAATGAACAAGTTCTCAAGACCAACACACATTCTATTTTTGATCCATGAAAGAAGTCTGGAATCAGAAAGAAATCCAATGAGATTGGGTCTATTAAAAATTAATACATTATGAAAACGGGAAGGTAACTCTCAAGACCAACACACATTCAGCAGTATCTCAATTTGATCCATCATGGTGAAAGTATTAATGAACAAGTTCCTCTATTTTATGAAAGAAGTCTGGAATCAGAAATCCAATGAGATTGGGTCTATTAAAAAATTAATACATTATGAAAACGGAAGGTAACTCTCAAGACCAACACACATTCAGCAGTATCTCAATTTGATCCATCATGGTGAAAGTATTAATGAACAAGTTCCTCTATTTTATGAAAGAAGTCTGGAATCAGAAATCCAATGAGATGGGGGTCTATCAAAAAATTAATACATTATGAAAACGGGAAGGTAACTCTCAAGACCAACACACATTCAGCAGTATCTCAATTTGATCCATCATGGTGAAAGTATTAATGAACAAGTTCCTCTATTTTATGAAAGAAGTCTGGAATCAGAAATCCAATGAGATGGGGTCTATCAAAAAATTAATACATTATGAAAACGGGAAGGTAACTCTCAAGACCAACACACATTCAGCTGTATCTCAATTTGATCCATCATGGTGAAAGTATTAATGAACATTATATTCACTCGGCTTTCATCGTTTTTATGAAAGTTGACTCTTCACGACACTGCATGTTTTTCGTTCTGGAAAGGGATGTAACTATGGCATATTATATATCATCAAACAACTCCAAAAAAGTTGCTTACCTCTCTAATAGGAAACTGTATACCTGCTTTGAGAGATTTCCTCTTCTAATTCATTACAAACCGCCTTCCAAGATCCGAATCCACCGAAGGCATCGATCTAATAAAGGAACTCTATCGATCTACAGAATCTTACATGTCTGACGAGAACCCCAATACGAAAAATTTCAGACTTCATCAGGTGTACGACAAGGAGGAAATGAGAACCCCAGTCTATTTAATCTTTATCTAGATTATGCCCTGTGCATTTACAAAGACAGATGGCCACTGACCATTTAAACATTCCATACCACATCCCGAACGAGTCTACCAATAGAAGACAACGATCCTGCTTTCCCTCCCGAGGCTAATGTACTAACAATGGAAGGGGTGCTATGCTGATGACATAAGTGTTCATAGTTGGGATAAAAGTGATCTTGAACAGAAAATCAGCATCCTGCATCAAGTGTTCCAAGAAATAAGACAAGATAAACCTTTCCAAAACAGAAAATTTGATCTGGAATTGGAATGAAAGCATTGATAACACCTACCATGAACCCATCATAAAATACAGGATGTGGAATTAGTAAATGCTAAACTCTTCAGATACATCGATGTATGGATCAGTTATAAGGAATAAAGGAAATTGAGCCTAGAATAGGATGTGTTTGTAGTAGTTTTACACCAAACCAGAAATTGCTACAAAACTAAAACATTAATCTGAAAACTTGAGACATGTTCTTAAATAACATCATCAGATCAAGAATCTCATGCATGGCGCCAGACAAAGTCAGAAATATCTAAACTGCCAGCCGTATACAACCCGCTTCGTAAGATGAATCGTAAAAAAATGCTTTGAGCGAGTAAAAGGCTATGGATCTTTGGTGAAGATCATCTTTCTTTGAACATTCTGAACTGGTACTACAGAATCACAAAACAAAGAACTATAGCAAATAACAGAAACTACATAACTTGAGAACTTTCAACAGCAACAACAACTAAGTGTGGTGGCTTTAGACTCCGGAGAAAATAAAGACAAAAACTGTCCAATACTTAGATAGTTTTTATTATGCTGTTCATCAATCTAAGCTTTCGACTCCCATGAGCAATCATCAGAGTTGTTATATGGTCATTACTAAAGCCACTATATAAAACGTTACATGATCAAACATAATAGAGAGTCGCCGTTGAATATTTAACAATATATGTTTGAATAATGATCTTCTGCCCCTATATATATATATATATATATATATATATATATATATATATATATAGTTAAACCTAGAGAGCCAGACAAACCTACCAAGGTTTCACCTAAGTGGATCGTCAGGGAAGGCTGGCTTAACGTACATGTTCTTGGTTCTTTCTTTTTTTTTGTACTTTTTTCCGAGCGAGTATAGTTTCTTATACTTGTAAGA